CTGAGGATTGAACCCAGTATCTCACGCATGCTAGGCAAGCACTCTACCGCTGAGCCACAATCCCAACCCTCAGGAGCTCCATTTCTATCAGGATTTAATATCATGCTAGGAGCTTTCTTTCTTTTTTAATATTTATTTTTTAGTTGTAGTTGGACACAATACTTTTATTTTATTTATTTATTTTTATGTGGTATTGAGGATCGAACCCAGGGCCTCGCATGTGCTAGGCGAGCGCTCTACCACTGAGCCACAATCTCAGCCTAGGAGCTATTTTTTCTTAAAGCATATATTTCTTCCAGGTGTGGTGGTGCACACCGGTAATCCCAGCACACCTGTAATCCACCCTCCCAGGGTGGCTGAGGCAGGAGGATTTTGAGTTCAAAGCCAGTCTCAGCCACATAGTGAGGCCCTAAACAACTCAGTGAGACCCTGTCTCTAAATAAAATATAAATATGGGATGAGAATATGGCTCCAGTGTTTAAGCACCCCTGGGTTCAATCCATGGTATGAAACTCTGTTCCCCAATCCAAACATACATTTCCTCACCACATGTGGCAATTGGGAATACTGTTTGATTCTATTTATGGTAGACTACTGTCATCTTTCAGCATCCAGCCAGCTAGGGTAGAGGCAAGATTAGTGAATGAAATGAAAATAAGATGAGAACTAACACTCTCTCTCTTTTTTTTTTTTTAAACATTTTGAGTTGTAAATGGACATAATAACTTAATTTTATTTATTTATTTATTTTTTGTGGTGCTGAGGATCAAAACCAGTGCCTTGCATGTGCGAGGCAAGTGCTCTACCACTAAGTCATAACCCCAGCCCCAAGAACTAACTCTCTTGAATAATTTAGGTCTTTAGGGATGGAAATAATATCTGCTATTTACCCAGGATTGGGATATTATTTTCATTAACTGTCTTGACTGCTGTGGGGGAAGTGCAGCAGAAATGATCTTAGAACTTGTACCCGGCTTTCCTTTCTTTGTTATGTCTTACAGGCCAATGAACCAATGTGAAGGTTGTCAACTTCAAAGTGTCTATTCTAGTTGTCTGGAGACTAGTGAAATGGTCACTACATGGACCCAACAGTGGAGCCAATATGAGTCAAAGATGGTTCAGGACTCCATTTATTACCTGGCCCAACATATGGTCCCACTCACTCTAATAGGATCAGGATGACGCTCTGGATCTTTAGTAAACAGGCTGCAAAATGACATTAGGGTGCATAGAGTTTACTGAGGAGTATGCTTAGGTGCAACAACACCTGTCAGGGGAGGAAAAGAAGCTTGAGCAGGATAATTTAAGCTCAAGTAAAGTATCAAGAAAAGTCACAGTTATCCTCATGAGAGCTCTGAACTGGGATAGCTCACTATTGTTGTCTTAGAGTGGGGCACATCATAAAGTGACCCACATCATAAAGTCATTCCGGCCAGGTACGGTGGTTCATGCTTGTAATCCCATCTATTCAGGAGGCTGAGGAAGAAGGATTTTAAGTTGGAGCCTGGTTGGGCAACTTAATGAGGCCTTGTCTCAAAATAAAATTTTTAAAAGGGCTGGGGGGGCTGGAGTGGTGGCTTAGTGGTAGAGTGCTCACCTAGCATGCACGAGGCACTGGATTTGATCCTCAGCACCACATAAATATAAAATAAAGATACTGTGTCCACCTAATACTAAAAAATAAATATTAACAACAACAACAACATATGCATATGATTCTATATCTTGTCTTTTTTTACTTTAGTATTTTTTTAATTCTCTTTCCATGAATGAGTAACAATGTGTACACAAGGACACTCATTTCAGTTTTAAATACTAGTACTGAAATAACTATAGATTGGTTAAAATTATTGTATATAAGTCAAGTAATAATGATATGTAGATATTTAAACTTATTTATTTTTTTGGCTGTATGTTGGATTGTGAGGGTGTCAGCTTGCCCAATCTTGGCAAAAGAGTAATTGAAAGATACATAAAGGAGGCAAGCAGATGGAGATAAAAAAATATCACATTCTTAACTATAAAAAATGAAGATTAAAACAGTTTTGGTGCAAAGGCCAAATAGGCTTACTTGTACTCTTGTCCTCAGTTTCTCCAAGTCTAGAATGGAGGCTATTACATCTGAGTGACAGTTTGGTTTTCTAAAGGAGACAAACTTAACTAATGCTGGCCATTCTTGCTCAGCAGATGGATGCATCAGGTTGAGGCTAGACTTTCTTAGCTTCTTTACTTCTCCATCATACTTCCTTCATACCCTTACAGGTTTCTTCTGAGAGCTAATAAGTTGCTTGCACAAGAAGTCGAGTCTCAGTATCTCCTTTGACAGACCAAATATCTATGAAATTTTTACAGAGACATTTTGTAAAAATGAAAACAAATTATTTTTATTTTGAAAATGGAAATCTGCACGGGTTCCAAGATAAACCTAAAGGATATTTGTAGCCTAAAAATTCTGTTTTCCGTGTGTAGTACACTAAGCTAAAGTTTGTCAAAGGGGCTCATTCATTTTACCATGGAGGAGTCAGATATCTTTCTCCCCTTTTCCTTCCTTTCCTTAGACTCCAGAATAGCTGGGATTATAGGCACAGACCTTCTTCTTCTTCTTTTTTCAACACTGGGGGTTGAAGCCAGGGTCACTTTACCACTGATCTATATCCCTAGTCCTTTAAAGTTTTTTCCTAGTCAGGGTCTCACTCTGCATTACTTAGGTAGGGTCTCACTAAGTTGCTGAGGCTAGCTTTGAACTTGCAATCCTCCTGCCTCAGTCTCTCTAACTGCTGGGATTATAGGTGTGTGCCACCACACTTGGCTAAAATGATTTCTACATTAAAGCTGGAGTGGTCCTGGGCATGCTTGTAGGAGGTAGAGGGGAATCAAAGCAATAAAAACAATGGAGCATATGGAGGTGAGAAAGGATGGAGTCCTATATATGCTATGTAGTATACTACCTTAAGGAGAGGCGGAGATTAGGATTGGCAGTTTTATGGATAAACTTACCAGCTGAAGGAAGGTTGCAACTAGTGGTCATTAATTTTTACATGATGTATACAGCAATGTTACTAGTTAAATGAAGAGGCAAAAGTGGAAGTAGAGGTCTTCAAGAGACTGGCAAATGCTGAAGAAAGTAAGTAGGGATGTCAAAGCATGACTAAATTGAATATAGAAATGGCTTCTGTGAAGCTTGCAGGGGCAGCCTTTGGGAGGTGATGTCTTAGTTGGGTGGGTTTTTTGTTTTTAATTTTTTTTTTTTTTTTTTTAGTTACTGATGGATTTTTGTTTATTTATGTGCGGTGCTGAGAAATGAACCCAGTTCCTCACACATATTAGGCAAGCAAGTATTCTACCACTGAGCCACAACACAGCCCACTGCCAGGTGGGGTTTTAAAATAGAGCTGGCATTTTCTGAAGGGTGGGCTTGAGGAGAGTGAGAGAAGAAACAAGATATTAAAGGAAATCCAGAAGGAAGGCAGATATGAGAGAGTTGTAAATATTCATTAACAAATTGCACTAATAGGCAAAGATACTCTCTGGGAGATTATTTTACAGTACTAATAAACTATTTAGATCTGTAGATTAAAAAGTAGGAACTGCAATATCACAATCATGAACCTTGAAACTAAAATCAGAAGTGCTGAAGCAGGAGGGTCACAAGTTTGAGACCAGACTCTGGCAACTAGGTGAGACCTTCTAATAAAAACCGAAATAATATTAACTCAAACCCAAACCCAAACCAAACCACCACAATAAAATACCTGGGGATGTAGATGCAGAAACACAATATAAGTATAAGTATAGTGGAGACTGTGGTCTAGTAGAGTCTCAGAACAAGTTGGGTGGAGCTCCCATGCCAGTGCAACAGGACTGGATGGCAAGCCCATTCAAGAGTTGGGGATTAAGCAGGGCCTCTATAGGCTTTGTAACGAGGTGGTACACACTATGAGTATTATCGATGTGCTATGAATTACTAAGATAAAGTTATGAACCTTGTTTTCAAAAAATCCACGTGTTACAAATATTGACTATAATTATAGGGGGGTCCATAAACTGCTGAAACCTATTCATGCTAGGCAGGTACTCTATCACTGGGTTACATTCTGCCCTCAGTCCCTCGTTTTTTTACTTTGCAAAGTATAAAGACACAGATAATGAAAGATGCCATATTCTCGGTCTTTCAGGAGACTGTAGTGGACATTATAAACGATGGTTTTTGACCACAGACATAGCTGAATCATTCAGTAAATATTTACCAAACGCCTGATACATGTAGGCAATGTGCCAGGGACTGAACTCTGTGAGAGACCAAGAGTTCTTCCATTTCTATCTTTACAAGACCATTCACTTCTAAAAACGTGACTGGAGTTACTAATTGGGCCTTATAAAGTCATCCAACTTTGAGAGGCATTCTTGAAAGACAATAAGGGCTCTTACCGGGCAACAACTTGATTTTGGTTTCTCTACATCCGACTCTAGTTTGGTCTAGTCAACGTCACGGCCTTATCTATTCAATAGGATTAACAAGTACACGAGAACTTGCAAATCTTCAAAAACACAACCTTTGCAAAAACTAATATAAACAAACGAGGAAACAATGTTAGGCTTTTGAGAAGTAATAATTGGTAGGTTCACCCTTGAGGGAAGACGCTGTCGCTTTTAAGTGTCCAGAGCCACCGCGGCAACCCGCACGCGGTTTCACAGCGCTTAACCTGCCTCCTCTGAGAGATCAAGTTCCGCTTCCGCAGGCAGATTTTCACTGAGCGTGTGAGCGCTAGGCGGGAGATTTTTAACTCCGAGCCCGTCCTCATTGCGCACGCGCCTGAGGAAAGGCGGAGACCGGAAGGGAGGGGGCGTGGCGAGGAGCCGCGGACTGCCGGCTTCCTGGCTCTGCGGCTGGGCTGAGGGGCCGGCTGCGTACAGTAGTGACGGCCGCGCGGGACCGGTCACATGACCATAGCGGCTGCCTGTACAGTAAGAACCCAATATGGCAGCAGCGGTAGCAGTGGCAACGGCAGCAGGAGGATCGGCCGCCCCATAAACCCCCCCGCGCACCTCCCCCGCCGCTTCCTCTGCTAGGTTGCTCCTCCGGCCTGACTTCCCCTTTCTCCCACCTTTCCCGGCACCGCGGGAAAAGCAGCACAGGGCAGAGAAGGCAGGGAGGGCGGCCGGAGCCGGGACACGGGAACCTCCTAGTCCAGTTCAAGACCCGACATGAGGGAAAAGGGCCGTAGGAAGAAGGGCAGGACCTGGGCGGAGGCCGCCAAGACGGTAAGGGGGAGGGAGCGAAGGGGAAGGCCGGGAGGATTTCGTTCCCTTGCTGCCCGCCAGTCTCGGGGGAAGGGAGGTCACTGGCCCCGCGACCCCGCTGAAGGCACAAAACCGCGCCGAGCAGGCGGCAGTTAGGGTCGGGGTTGCGGTCCCTGTGGGAATGGAGGCGGTAGCAAAAGGGGCTCGCCGTCAGGCTGCGGCTTCTCCCAGCATCTGTGACGAGTCCTCTTGGTGTTTGGAGGCTGTCTGGGGTCATGTCGCTGTCGCCCCCACTCTTTGGTAGCCTCCGCCCCGGCAAGGGGAAGTCTGTTGTGCTTGCACAGTAACCGGTTCTTCTCCCTTGTGCGCCTGGAGAGCCCCCATTGGATGCAGACAGGAGAAGGCTTGTGCGTGCATCTAGCTCCGGAAAGAAGAAGGGAGCGCCGGAGCTTGTAGAATTTACCCTCTACAGCCGACATTCTGCCTGACCCCCTGCTTATCTGGCTCTCGGAGCCGACGTGAGGTCACGAGGCTTTTGTTTTTGTTTTCTGTTGGAGCTGAAAGTGCTGGAGGTGTTTAGAAACGAAGTAACAGGTGGGACTTGTAGAATATATATATATATTTTTTCTGTTTCCGTAGAGACCTACTCTGAACAAGGCAGCAATGCATGGTGGGACGTGTAGTTTACCCGTCCTTCACTTTTCTGTAGCCAAAGTGATGGTGGCCCGCAAATTGTGATTCTTGGGCAAAACATTTTTTCCCCCAATTTTGTCATAAGGAAATGTAGAGGTAGGTTTTTAAAAAAGGATATTTAGTCAGAACTTTTTCTGTGTTTTACGAAGAAAAAAAATAAAAAGCGTGTCTGTATGTAAAAATGAAAAGGGAGAAAGTGAAGTTTATTCCTTCGTTGAGGGTGCAACAGAAAAATAGCAGAGCATTAAACAATAGCATTTCAGTGTTGGAAAGTGAGAGGTGTTCATCTCTTTAATACATGGACAGCACACTAAATGTCGGATGGTTATTTATTAAATAAGTTTTTTTCCCCCCTGAATACAAAAGTAATAAATAGCCGATTGTGGTGGTGCATGACTGTAATCTAAGGAGTTTGAGAGGCTGAGGGAGGAGGATGGCAAGATGGAGGACAGCCTCAGCAACTTAGACCCTGTCTCAAAATAAAAAGGGCTGGGGATGTGGCTCAGTGATTAAGTGCCCTTGGGTTCAATCCCCTATACCAAAAAAAAAAAAGTTAAATATTTATTGTGGTGAAATTTAGAAAATTATAGAAAAGCACAAAGAAAAAAAATCACGTATTTTTACCCATCAGTTGTATCTTAATATTTTGGGTATATTGCTATAGTCATTTATTTCCCCAAATCTGGGTCCTATTGTTTATTCAATCTGGTGTATTTATTTTGTGAACCTTATGCATTTGTTTTGTAAATTTCTTGTGTTAGGGGGTTAATGAGCTTTCAACTTATGTTTGTTTTAGCTGGAAATATGAAAAAAGTGCAGAAATAACTAGTACTTTTTATTGTTTTCACATATCTTTTTGTGTGACTGTGCTGGTAGTTTCCTTATAAAAGATAAAACTCTAAAAATAATTTTTGATAGTTGTATTTCTATTTTTTTTTAAAAAATACCTTTATTTATTTATTTTTATGTGGTGCTGAGGATCAAACCCAGGGCCTTGCACATGCTAGGGGAGCGCTCTACCGCTGAGCCACAACCCCAGCCCCGCTATTTTGCCTTCTACTTCATGGTTATCTCACAGTGTCTGTTAATAAAAGAAATATGGGCTGGGTTGGCAGTGCATGACTCCGGAGGCTGAGATAGGACGACTACAAGTTCGAGGCCAGCTTGGGTAACTGAGCAAGACCCTGTTTCAAAAAGAAGGTAAATTTTAATTGTAACTAGGCAGATCCCTAATTATGTTGATTCATTTTAAGTCTCTAGAAAAAAAAATATGGGCAGAGGGTGTACCAGGGAATGGACCCAGGTGCACTTTACACTTAGGTACTTCTCCAGACTGCCCTCTCACAACCTTTTTTTTGTGTGTGTGTGTGTGAGACAAGGTCTCCCTACATTTTGGAGGCTGGCCTTGAACTTGTGATCCTCCTGCCTAAACCTCCAGAGTTGCTGGGATTACAGATGTTTGCCCAACCTGTATTTGTATTAAGTTTGTAGTTGTATCAGAATCTCTAAGAGGTGGGGTGCAGTTTGAAAAAGTGTATTCAGCAAACTTACTATTTGTGTGTATGTATGTATGTATTTATTTATTTTTGTTCTGGGGATTGAACCCATGACCATTCACATGTTGGGCAGATGCTCTATCACTGAGCTTCATTCTCGGATTGTTTTGTTTTGGTTCAGGGTCTTTCCTGGGTTGCATAGGCTGGCCTTGAATTTATAATCCTGCTTTAGCCTCCTGAGTTGCTAGGTTTGCAGGAGTGTGCCATCATGCCTGGTCTTTTTCTTTGCTTTTTTTTTCCAGTAGTGAGAATTGAACCCAAGTGAGAATTGAACCGAGCTACATTCCCTATTCTTTCTTTCTTTTTTTTTTTTTTTTTTAGTATTCCGTTTTTTTTGGATATGTCATCATTTAAAAAATTGATCCTTAATTATGAGAAATAGGTCATTTATAGTTTGTTTCCTCTGGTATCATTCTTGTATATGTATGTATACATGTATATGTGTATTTGTGTGAATGGAATAGTTAGGATAAAGATTACTTTAGCTGGCAGGGTGTCACATGTCTGTAATCCTAGCTATTTGAGAGATTGAAGCAGGGAGATCGCAAATTTTAAGGCCAGTCTGGGCAATTAGCAAGACCTTATCTCACAATAAAATTTAAAAAGAGTGGGGACGTAGGTCAGTGGTAGAGTGCTTGCCTAGGAGGCCCTGGGTTTGATTCCCAGTGGAGGGCCAGTGATGTACACTTGAACTTGAAATATGTCTTTATATATCTTTAAAACTTTGTGCCTTGGGACTGGGGAGGTGGCTCAAGCGGTAACGCGCTTGCCTGGCATGCATGGGGCACTGGGTTCTATCCTCAGCACCACATAAAAATAAATTAAAGATGTTTGTGTCCACCGAAAACTAAAACTAAAACAAAAACAAAAAAACCCCAACTTTGTGCCAATTTGTACACCGCCCCCCCACCGCCGCCCTGTTTGTTGTTGTTGTTGTTTTTGGTGGTACTGGAGAGTGAACCTAGGGGCACTTTATCACTGTGCTATATCCCCAATTCTTTTAGAAATTTATTTTGAGATAAGGTCTTGTTAAGTTGTTGAGGCTGGCCTTGAACTTGAGGTTCTTCTGCCGCAGCCTCTCAAGTCACTGGAGTTACTGGGATTATAGGTATCTTCCAAAAATTTGAAATTTCCTTTTTCTTCTCCAGTTTTTCCTGTAGTCCAAAGAGTATCTATCTTATTCTTGGCATTTTCATACAGTAACAAAGCAGTTTTTCAATTGTTTTGTTCAGTAAAACTTGATGGAAACTTGATCTGCTATCAGATGTGGTGACCACTAGTCATATGTGTTCCTTGAGCACCTAAAATGTGGCCAGTGTGACTAAAGAATTGTATTTTAAATTTTACTTAATTTTAATTATGTAAAGTTCATGCAGCCACATTTGTCTGTGATACAGATGTAAAGTAACTTCCTATGCTTACTATTTGTATTTTTTATTTTTTTCCAGTAAACTTGTGTGTTAAGATCACTTGTCTCTCTTCCCACCTTCACTCCCTATCCTGGTCTTTTTCCCACTAATTTGTTTGTTTGTTTCTTTTTTCTTTTCTTTCTTTCTTTCTTTTTTTTTTTTAGTACTGAGGATTGCACTTCAGGTCCATGTCCCCAGTCCTTTTTATTTTTTATTTTGAGACAGGGTCTTGCTAAGTTGCTCAGGGCCTTGCTAAAAAGTCTTTGTGAATAAAAGTAACTAGCCTTTTGTCATGTGTGTTGCAGATTGATTTCCTTGTTTTGCCTTTTGCCTTGATTTATGGAGTTGTGTTTTTCTTTTGCTGCCCCTACATTTTTTGTTTGTTTGCTTTTTTAGTATTGGAATCAAACCTATGGACGCTTTACCATTGAATTATGTCCCAACCCTTTTTATTTTTTATTTTTGGGTACCAGGGATTGAACTCAGGGGCACTCAAGCACTGAGCCACATCTCCAGCCCTATTTTGTATTTTATTCAAGAGACAGGGTCTCAATGAGTTGCTTAGTGTTTCTGTTGCTGAGGCTTGCTTTGAACTTGCGATCTTCCTGCCTCAGCCTCCTGAGCTGCTGGGATTACAGGTGTGCTCCACCGAGCCTGGCCAGCCCTTCTTATTTTGAGACAGGTTCTCACTAAGTTGTTTAGTTACCTCATTAATTTGCTGAGGCTGGCCTTGAATTTATTATTATCCTGGCTTAACCTCCTGAGTTAGGCTGGCACCATGGCATCTGGCTTGCCCAAGCATTTTTAATGTTAATATAAACAAATTGATCAATATTTACCTTTTATTCTTTTTTTATTTTAGGTCCTGTTAAGAAAGGTTTCTCCCACTCAAAGTTCTAACCTAAGTGGATTTTGGGAAATGTCCATGATAATTCTTCTGACTGCCTGACAGTACTGAAATTGATTTGTATTGAATTCATATGAACTTGGTCTTGGGCATCAGAGGGCACTATATGACTTTTTCTTTCTTTTTGTGTACTGCTGGGGATTGAATCCAGTGGTGCACTACTACTGAGCTGTATCCACAGCCCATTTTATCTTATTTATTTATTTAATTATTTAAAAAATATTTTTAGTTGTATGTGGACATAATACCTTTATTTATTTTTATGTGATGCTGAAGATAGAACCCAGTGTCTCACATATGCTAGGCAAGCACTTCTACCACTGAGTCACAACTCCAGCCGCTTTATTTTTATTTATTTATTTAAAATATTTTTTTAGTTGGCAGTGGGCCTTTTATTCTTATTTATTTATATTTGGTGCTGAGAATCAAACCCAGTGCCTTACACATGCTAGGCAA